CGTTACAAAAAAATTGTGGAATTAAGTGTTTTATGCAACTGGCAACTTTTTGACCTTTTCTGTGGTTCCCTACTTTTTTCCTACACTAGTATGTTGCCTACTGAATTCTTATATTTGTTGAGTCAGCAAGTCTCTCTGTGAAGCACATGGCATAGTTTTGTTACTGTGTAACAATGAAAATGGACTAGAAGAGCTCAAGAGTGAAAATACTGTATCTGCATGAGAATCAATACAGTTGTGAAAGAACCATTATTTCCACCACTCATCCCTATCCGATTTTTTCTTTCCTCACTTCCAGGGAATGGTGGCTGTTTCAGGAAGTCTGTCAGTACTTCTAGATTCAATCATCTGTGCTTTGGGCCCGTTAGCATGTCTGACCACGCAGTTACCTGAGTTGAATGGCTGCCCTAAACACGTTTTGGTGAGTTCCTTGTGGTTATTTTCATTCTAGCACTGTTAATTTCAGTAGAGTCCAGCAAGAATTTTTTGATGAATCAGTCTGATGATGTGATTGTAATTCCAGTGCAATATGAAAATTGTCTTGGTCATAGGCTTTTAAGGAGGCATATTTCTTGAAATTCATTCAGATGTTAGTGTTATACAATATTGTACAACTTTTTTCTTCCATTGGCAACTGAACTAGTATTTATAGCACTGATCGCAGTGTGTGTAGGTCCTGTTTTAGTGACTGAATCAATCTGAATCAAACAGAAGTGCCTATACACATAACCTGTATTTCTGAAAGTTCTAATTTTCCCTAAAAATAAAAGCACCTTCTAGCTGCCCTATATCACACAATCTGTTTTTCCTTTAGTAGCATAAAAAGTAACATGTGTCTCAGGATTCCTAATGTGATTGAGTAGGGCCTTCTACATGTGGCTGTAACCTTCTTCAATGAAAGAAAAATAGTCTCTGTTTTCAGGAACTGCATAACTACAGGTTCTTTCCCACTTTAAACTATACTTAAAATTGATTTAGCAACAGCTTGTGGCATCCAGGTAGCATGATGTGGACATAGATTAAGATGACAGCAGTGTAAAAGATATCAGGAGTTATACCTCCAACAGGAGACATGAATAAAGCAACAGACAGGAGCAGAAATGAAAAATAAATATATAGTCCACAAAAATTAAGATATGTAAACCAAATCTGGCAGAGAGAACAACAAAAATGTCATGTTATAATGGGGCAGCCCAAACACTGATTCATTCTGAGAACGGACTATTAACAACAACAACAACAAAAAAGTCACAGCTATGAGCTCCCACAAAGTGGTTGCCTGCACAAAAGCTGAGTCAGCGGGGTGTTCCCATTCTAAACCATGGAAAAACATCCTATGCTTTTTTTCCTTCTGGCTTGCCAAGTGCATTCAGAGCAGTGACACCACATGACTAATGGTATGTACGTGGGAAACTTGATCAACTTATTGTTATAAGGGGCAGTGGAGCCTTAGGTGGATTAAGGCACTTACCCTTCACTTCTGAAAACTAGTGTTCAGGCTTGATAAAAAATAAATTGTTCTGATTTTTTCCATCAGTTACATAATGACAGTGGTGTTTTAAGATACGGATAAAATTTTCAGTGGTCATGTTGCATGTAGAATGCAATTTATCTTTTCAGTCAGTAGGTGGCATTGTTACATTCTAAAATCCCCACTTCTGCAGCTGCAGCTCCTCCGGCTTCAGCAATTAAAAGGTGGTTTTCCTAAGGCTTTCAGCCATCCAGCCACAGGCTTAAGCTTACTGGAATACTGTATTTGAAGAACATACAGATAATATGCTGCTGAGTCTTATTTTCTGATGTGCACAAGAAGGACTCTTACTCTCAGAATTCTGTTACATTTTGCAAGGAAAACTGGAGGGCACTTCTTTTTCCCATCTGACTCCCTATTAGTGGATGTGTTTAAGGGGTTTTCTCTTTATTTTTACACTACAGAATTTCATCAAGGACTTGTGAGTGTAAAGTCAACTAATATATTTTTTATATGCTACAACTTTGATCAATTTGCTCAAGTCCTTGATCACTACTCTTTCCTGTGGTTGATGTGATATGGTCAATGTGACTTGTTTCAAATTCAGAGGTAGAGTACGGGGTTTGTAAGGAGAAGGTCACTTGAGGAAAGCTTCAAGCATTTTCATTGTTTCCAGGTGCTTACAAGTACTGAGGCTACCTTTATGTTTAGTTCACTTACATTTCCAAAAAAGTGAAAATAAGCCTAGCAATGGTGGGGGTGACTAGGCAGACTTGGTTGTCTTATCGTATGATAACTTGTAAGACAAGTGAACACGCTTAGTGCCCTCGTCTGTGTCATTTTTTAAGGATTTTGAGTCATTACCTGACACTAAAAAATACTGAATTTCTTTTCCCAGTCAAACACACTAGACAACATCGCCTACATCATGCCTGGACTTTGATGGGAAAGGATCCTGGGATGTACTCAGCCTCTGCGTAACTGACTTGTGTACATACGCACTACACCGGCACTCCCAAAGGGCTCCGTGTGTAGGGTTTTAAAGTTTTATATCTGTATAGTATATACATAGGATTGTAACTATTTGACTTCTATTTTATGAAAAGTTGTGAAGTTAAGCTGAGAAAACCCTTTTGTGTTGGTGCGTGAAATGTCCTCCAATCTGAAAGTATTTTGTATGAAGAATTCAGAAAGCTTTTGAGATTCTCGCCTTAAATTCCGATCCTTTAGTGGGGGAAGCAGCCAGAGAATGGATTTCCTGACATAAAGAAAAAAAATACCACCATGAGAGGGGTCATTGAAAGAGGTGGCCAGAGAGGTTGTTGTCTCTCCATCCTTGGTGATACTCAAAAATGGAATGAGCAGCCTGCTCTAGTTCAACTTGCTTTAAGCAGGAGGATGGACCAAATGACCTCCTGATACCCCTTCCAATCTAAAGTGTTCTGATACTCTATGAGCGTGTATAGGTAGAGTTGATAATATATTTTGGACCAAGGAATAGAATTGAACTCTTCACCAGCCCAGTATGTAACTCTTTTTTTGGTTTAAAATGTACTGCTTGAGGGGGTAGCTGGATAGCTGCTCAAAGTTACAGAGCTCTTTGCCTCTTGGTCACTTCTTCCAACCCTAATCCGCCCCTCTTCAGTCAGTGTAATTGAAAGTTGTCAGCATCAGCTGGCTGGTCTGGTAGTTGGCATTTGAAGTAACATAGGAGATGACAATGAATTTAATCTTTTCTTATGGACTTGCACCTAAGTTGTCATTAGCATGATATATCAACCAACTGCATTGACTTGAGAGAATCAAGCTGCTGAATTTTGCAGAGCAGGGTCGGGCTGCTTTGATGGAGAGGAGCATGGAAGCAGATAGGAAAAACTGGGATTGCTTCTGCCCATCTTGCACCAATTTTGTGAACAGCCAACTTTGGTTTCTGAGATCGCTCATCCCCCATGCTTTTCACCAGCAGTATTGAAAGAGCCATGGTGCTGCTGTGAGGCTGTGACTAATGACCAGTTGGAAGCAGTTAGGGGTGAGTAAGGCACACGTGGATTGGTGGGACCGATTCCCTTTCCTTCCAGCCACATACTTGGTGTTTGGTTTTCAGCTCCTCTGAAAGAGGAGCCGCAGGAGAGCACTTGATTCTCATATAGGCTTTTGTGTGTCTGTATGTATGTGTATGTGGTGTTCATATCATATGTATTTAACTTTTACCAGTATCTGTAATGGATTTTAATTTATCCTGTATATTTCTGTGTGTGTATATATATATATACATAATTTAAAAGCGAAAATCTCTCCCTCCACCAACAGTGTGTGGAAAATATGAATCAAGTTTGCCTCACCCCACTTCCTGCAGGCATCAGCTATATGTGCAGTAGTAAGCATTGGCATTGTTATGGGGAAACACCAGGAAGATTTTAAGTGTTTGTAGAAACAGGCTTCCTTGTGAAGGCAGGTAGAACAACTGGAATATAATTTGACTCTAGCCTTTCCAGCCTTATAACATAAAAGTTTTAAAATAGCAGAAGAGCACTTTTATACTTCCAGTCTGACGTCTAGCTTCTGGTTTTGAGGACGGTTGCAAGTGAGGTGCCCCTCACATTTAAATTAAATCCTCGGGTGTGCAGCAGGAGGGTTTTTCTCCCCGTTCCTCTTTGCCGTGCATTCCCTCGCTGTGCCTCTACAAGGTAGTCTGTCTCTTCCAGAGCTTTTCTCGGTGCATCGTTTGGTTTTCTCAGTCAGTGCAGGAGGCAGAAGGTTCTCAGACCACCGTGCAAGTCCTCAACTCCAGCCTCAGCCCAGAGCATACGTGTTTTAACAATATGTGGCAAATCCCAGTGAGCCTGGAATTGGGAAGGGCCAAGGAGGGCGACAGTCCGGGCCCACGTGGAATCCTGGCCCAGACTAAAGCACCTGCTGTTGGGAGCGGCACAAAATCACTGGCTCTTTCCAGCCCTTTGCAGTCGGGAGCGTCCTGGTGAAGGGGAAGGTCCGCTCTCCAGGGAACAAGAAGGGGATCAGCTTTAGCTTCGTGCTCCGTACAATGGAGAACTCTTGAAGAGTTTAACAAACACACGCAACCCTGGTGTATTGTATTTTTATTTAAAAATTTGTATACTTTGTATAATCTGTATCTTGTGGTATTTGGTACTAGAGGGAAAACTTTGGCAAGTCTTAGCAGTTTTTGTATTTTTGTTATTTCCGTGGTGTTTGATCCAGATGACAGTGACATGAAAAAACCGTTTTTTGTACTGTACTTACAATATAATCTTCATTTATTTTTTTTTTAAACATTTGGAGTATTGTCCTTCATTCCCGGCGCGCGCTGTGCTTTCCGCAGCACCCGTTACTGCCGGGGTTTGGTGTTTCTCGGCAAAACGCGTCCAACCCTGCACTCGTTAAAACGCGCCTGGGTTTGCGGGCCAGCACCGCCCTCCCCTGCGCCGCCGCTCACCCGCTCCGCCGCCCCGACGGGAGGGACCGCCCGCGCACAACCGGCGCTGCCGTGCGGGCGGGGGGAACGGCACGCCTGGCGGTGTGACGCCGTGATCTGCGCTGGTCGGTGGCACTTGGCGGGTCCCCGGCCTGGCTGCCCGCCTCAGCCCCCGCGGCGGGCACGGCACGGGACGGGCGGTGCCGCGCGCCCCTCCCGGGCGTCGGCCACTGGCGTCACAGCGGGGCCCGCGCGGGGGCCCGCCCCGGCCTGGCGCGCGGGTCACGTGAGCGGCAGCGGCGGCGGCGTCAGCTGATCGCGGCGCGGCGGCGATGGACTTTCTGCTCGGGAACCCCTTCAGCTCCCCCGTGGGGCAGCGCATCGGTGAGACCCGCGGCACCGCGCACCTCCCTCCCTGCCCGCCCGCCTACCCGTCCGCCCGCTCCCCCTACCCGGCGCCCCCCGGGGGCGCCCGTCCGCCCGCCCGTCGGACCCCTTCCTCCGGGAAGCTGCGGCCCCCGCCCCCCCGGCGGGACAGAGAGAGCGTCGGCCAATGAGGGCAGAGCTCCGCCCTGACTGACGGGCGCTGCCGACCAATAGCGGATACGCAGCCTGAGGCGGTGCCGTCGGCGGCCCCCCCCAGCCAATCCGGGCGCGAGGGGGTCTTGAGGTGGCGAGGCGAAGTTTCCTCACTTAAAGGGGCCGCAGGCCGGTGGTCCGAGCCACGCCCCCCGGGCAGAGCCGAGGTCCCTGATTGGCTCAGGGCCATTCCCGCCCGCACCTCGTTGAGGGCTTCGTGGGAGGGGCGGGACCCTACGACGGGGTAGGGGGCAGAGCGGGGGCTGCTGATTGGCTGGGCTCCAGCCGGAGCAGCCTATCGCATTCTGGGCGGGAAGGGGCCGCGCTCTCCTCGAGGTGAGGGGGCGGCGGGGGGCGGCCATTGCCCCGCTGGAGGCCGCTGGGGCACAGGGGCTTCGAGCGGCCTGGCCCTGGGGCGACCCAGCTCACCCAGTTGTGTCAGAGCTCCCCGCTGTGAAGGACGAGCATCCTGGGCACCCCAGGGGTGGCTGCCCACCCTGAACTTCCCAGCAGGGCTGTCTCCCGGCCCTGTAGAGGGCTCCCCCCCACCTCCCCTGCACCGCGGGCCTTCCCGCAGGACTGAGTACCAGCCACAGGAGTGAAATCAACAGCAGGAGCGTAGCATCCACTCTGTGACTTTGTAGGCCCACAGACAAGCCGTCTGTCTTGGTCTCCATGCTCAAGTCAGCTGGATGAACAGGGGAGAAGGAGGTAGTGTGAGACAGGGGAGCAAAAAGATGCTACACTTAGAAAGAACAAGCCCGTCAACAGCTACACTGCTCTCAAAGCAGAGATGCAGTTCTTAAAGGACTTAGAATAAAGATTATATTCACCCCGTGTTGTATTGTCAAAGTGCCTTCAGGTTTTGCTTGGAGATTGATGTTGCCTGTTTAAGCTCTCCAGCTTGCACACTGGCCATTTATGTACTTGCTCAGTCTTGTGTTTTGTCACTTGTACGGACCTTTGTCCACTGTGAACATCTGGTCCCTGATTCAGTCATTTTCGGCGTGCTCGCACAGGAGAATAGGCTGCTGTGGCTGGGGTGAGAAGGGAGCAAGCAAGCTGCTTTAGGTAATGCTTTCAGAAGCACCACTTTTTTTCAGAGGCTGCCCAAAGCAGTGTCTGAGTGACGTGGGTTGGGGCCAGGGCCATGTGCCACTCTAGTGTTGGGCGAGATAGGTGAGACGCACTACAGCAAAGTGGGCGAAGGATCACCAAGGAAGGTTTTCGGTAACAAATACCTGCAGATGATCTCTGATGTCTCCCCAGATGAATGTCACATGTTCCGTCACACTTTCCAGGAGAAGCCGTTTCCTGCCCTTTCCAGAATGAATGCCCTTTGATTCCCTCAGTGAGCACATCAGATACGTTTTTGTGTTTGGGTAGAGGCAATCTGAAGTTATCTTTAGATGTCACAGATCACTTTTTGCCCTCAGGATCTTCCGATCAGTATAGTAACCAGATTGTAAGTGGGTTCCCTCTGGGCTTTGCTTCAATTTAAAAAGGGATTTTCAAACAACAAACCAATAGCAAAGAAGAAAAAAGTATTTCAAGAGTGCTGTCAAACAGGAGTTTGGAGTTGTTAGTACCAGAGGTGTGACAGTAGAGAGATCTTAATGACTGGGGTTGATTTGGGTTATGGGAGTCCAAAGGGGTGGAGGAATGGCAGCGTATGAGAAAGGAACTCAGTGTGGAGGACTTGAAAGGACTGGTGGCTGAAAATATGAATGTTTTTTCCTTTTGAACATTGCCTATCAACATCCTGGGGACATGGATAAATGCTATCTTCCCTGTTTAATTTGAGACGCGAACATGACTTACCCAAACTTGTTTGGTAGGTCTGTGGCAGCTGCATGTTGAACCCATGAGCCTGATCACCAAACCTGTCTAGCGCTGCTGCTTTGGGCTGTCTGCAGAAAGTTATCACTGCGTCCTTGTAAATTACTTGGGCAAAGTCATGTATGCTCAATACAGCTTATAAAGTCTCAAAATAGCTTTAGATGAAGGCTATGGAATAAAAAAAAAATCTTCTGTGGCACACTGCAGTGACGTTCTCAAATTCCTTCATTAATGTTAACCTAGTAAATCCCATTTATTTTGCTGACAAGGAAATTGATGCTCTGATAATCTCAGTGATCTGACACAGAATGAGTCAGTTGCAGAGGAGTAGGTTTTCTATCTTCTTACTCCCAGTCCTGAGATTTAGTCACAAAAGTTGCCTCTGTTCTGTTTTTGGACCATGATGTATCTTCCCAAGTAAGGCAAATACAGACTTGTTTGGTTGGGGGTTTTTTGTTATTTGTTTCTGTTGTGTGGTGTTTGGTGTTTGTTTTTTTTAAACACAGTACTTCTGACCAGTGGGAAATTTTTCTAAAGAGTGCTGAAGCACTGTAATTTGAATTCCACCCCCCAAAAGGGAAATCCACTGTGCCTCCATCTAGGAGCTAAGATAAACTTCAAAATCGAAATTCTAATTTCAAGGTGAGAGAATGGAAAGGAAACCACCAACACTCTCTCCTGACCCTGGGAGTCTGTAATAGCTAGTAATTATAGCAAGAGGGAAAGGGACAGAGGCAGTTTATTTCAGTGAATGAGGGCAGGCAAGAGAAAGAAGTAACAGCGTAGCACAGAGATGAAGGGGATATTTTATGGTTGGGAGGTTGGGTTAAGCATGAGAACCAGGAGAAGTTGAGACTGTAAAAAGGGAGCGGGTAAGAAAGAGCAGATTTCCCCTGCACGTGGGTGAGTAAGGGGAGGCAGGTACAACACAGTATGCCCCAAAAATCCCCACAGCCATTTGGATGCCACCTTGCAGGTGTCCCTGCTCCCCTCTGTGAGTTGGGAGCTGGTGGGAAGCAGTTACCAGCTGTTACCAATAACACTCTCCTCTCAGCACCAGGTGCTTCTCAATAAGGCATTGCCTTATCTTCTGTGCCCACTCTGTCTGGAGAAAAAGAGGCAAAGGCAGCAATTGAAGGGTTATTTGATCCCTAGGACTTTGAGCTGATTCACAGGAAAGGAGCAGCAGCAGGAGGAGGAGTTCAGAGACCCACAACACAATGTCAGTGTGAGTCTGTGTCCACTACCATCCTTGAATTAGACTTGGAGCCATACCTTTGTTCTCTCCAGAAAGTGAGTTGTCCCCTCTGTCTTTGGAGGAGCAATGCAGTGAAGCTGAACGGTGGAGTCCTGCCTGAGCTGCTGCTGAAGTTTCCTCAAGGGAAGCAAAAGCATGAGGCTTAGCAAGGAGACTCGTACCAGGTGCTGATTTGGGCCAGGGGGGTGATGCATTGAAGAGAGGTTGGGAGAAAGGACTGTTGCATTGCTTTCTGCTTGGAGGGGTTGGACTAGATGATCTCCAGAGGTCCCTTCCAACCCCGTATCATTCTGTGACTCTGTGAAAAAGCTGTCCAGTGCAATGAAATGCTGGTGACCTGTTGAAAAGGGTGAGAAGGTGTTTGATGCTTTGCTGGCGGATTTAGAGCCAGCGGGACTGAGCACTGTGTGAAATGCTGGTTAAGGGCCTGACTTGGAGGAAGGGCACGCAGTCTCTGATGAGCTATGGCAGAGCACGTCACGGGCCAAGGGTTTCTGAACGGTGCCTGGCTGGTTACGGGTGCTTCAGAGCTGTGACAGGGAGCAGAGGGGGCAGGAACCCGTGCAGTGTCTTCTGTCCCCAGCCCCTGTACTTCCCCGCAATGTCGACTGTACTGTTGGTGCGCTGCCTGGGATGGGATCGACAGCCCCACAGTGGGCCACAAGGGCAGGGGCAATAAACTTGAGAAGAAGCAAAGGTATGAAATCTACTCATGGCACAAAGCAAGGCACAGTTCTGTTCTGCCAGTTATGCTGAGCTCAGAGGTGTTTCTTATCTGATGGTGCCAGATAACTTCTGTAACCGAGTTGCAATCAGCAGGAGCAGGTCGGTTGCCAGGCTGGGAAAGACCTGATGCTGTGGTTCGACCCACGCCACAGTCAGTCCCCAGCGGTTCTGGGTCCATCCGAGCAATTTGTGGGGCAGCAGAGTGGAATCAGACAAACCCCAGCACTGTCACACCCGGGGAGCCGGACTGGCTGCCAAAACAATGTGGCTTTGAAGCGGCCCCACGAAGGGCCTCCTGTACATTCAGCAGCCGGTTGGTTTCGGGCTCGGAGGGAGAGGGCATTCATATGCTCGCAGATAACCTCCGCCCGGGGGAATTCCCTGTGGCAGGTCAGGTTCAGCTCCTTAGCACGAAGAAGCAGATGCTGCCTGATGAGCCCGGGCGGGCGGCCATGCCCTGCCTCCTGTGCTCGCTGTTTTTAGGGACTCGTGGCTGTCCCCAGCCATCCCGGGCTCAGATTTCTCGAGGGGCAGACAGCTCATGTGCTAATTACGGCTCGTGAAACGGGGCCAGCCACCCTGATCCTTCATGTGACTAATGAATAGACTTTGTTTTCTTCCCTTCTGCAGGCTTTAGTAAAAGGCTAAAGTTCAGGATTTCAGAGAAAACGCCAACATATCTTACTAGGCTTGGAGAGTCCCTTCGTGCTTGGACGCGAGGAGGATTAAAAGGGCATTAGCTCCAGCTCTCCCAAGGACAGCTAGGCCAGGCCTCAGTCTGTGCTGAGTAAATTCCAACACTTTGTCCTTGGAAATGCCTCATGGTCACGTTCCTGTTTTCCATATGCCCTAGTAGTGCTTTTCCAGCTTTGTTTTTTTTTGAGCCCATGTTGCCTTTATGGCAGGTTTGCTGCTTTCCTGCAGCTCTTGGTTGACCAGTGTGTGGATGGGGGTGACAATGGCAGGATGACCACAGCGTTGTGGGGTAACAGTGGGGCAGAGTCTGTTGCTTCTGAGGAAGCCTCGTTTTCCCATAAATGGCCAGCCAGGTGAAGGAGCATGTAGGGTTTGTTTGCATTCCTGTCTGAAAAGTAAACCTGCTGCCCGACCTTGTCAGGACTGGTGTGCTTGGAGAAAAAAGGGGGGTGGTAGGGAGCAGGTTACAGAGTGCCACCAAACACGGGGAAGTGAGGGAAGGGTGTTTGCAGACTGAGTGAACACTGCAGACTGCAGAGAAAATGAGGATGAGGAGGGCTGGGGAGGCTTGAACAGCAAGGACTTGATGGTTAAAGGCAATTTTCATTTCATCCTTAGTTTCTTCTGAAGCTCAGAGCTTCCCAGTAGGCTCATCCCTGTTCCTGAGTTGTGGTTTTTTTTCCTTTCATCTGCGGTGTTTTTCTTCGGGGGTGAGAAGAGTCGATGTGGACTTCCTTTCAGCAGAGCAACCCCTGTGTGAGTGATTGATTTGTGTGCTTCATTGCCAGTGGCAGCAAACAGTACGGAGAAACTTCTGGCTAGGCTGGGGTTCACACCAAGGTGTATGAGCAGGGGATGACGGAAGACAGTGCAAGTGAAGGGTGGCTTTGTGACCATGTGTGCCAAATTCATCAGACAACCTAAGGTGCAGTCTGCCTGCCGGCACGGCTGGTTGTGTTGTGTCCCTGAGCAGGAGACAACCTGGAGCTCTGCTGCTGTGATGGGTCCTGATCCCAAAGGAGCCCTGATGGAAAACATTTTCCCCCATGCATTGCCACAGCTTCACCCATTCATTGGTATATGCCCTGATGCACCAGACCCACTCCCCTGTAGCCCACTGCCCTGAATATGTTCTCCACTGCATCGCCCAATGCAATGCTGCCTCCTGTGCCTCACTGAGGAATCTTAGATCTGCAAGAGAAGAGGATTCCTATATAAAATTAATACTCAAAGTGACAAAAGTTCATCTGAATCAAGGGTCCTTCAGGATATTACAGTAGTAGCCAGATCTTCAGAAAAGTGGAAGAGCATCAAGAATGTTCTGCCACGCTCCTTCCCTTGATTGCTCTTTTCCATCTGGCTGTGCCCACAACGTAATCAGCATAATCACAGTGTAATCAATACATTCTGCAGTCAACAGAAGAGGTGGCGGCTGGATTGTGTTAAGATTTGGATAGGTTGCTTCATGCTGTGGTGTGTAATCTGTGGGAGGGGCACGTGCCTAAGAGGCTGCGTTGCACAGTGCTGTGAATAGCTCTCTGCCTGGGCCTTAAAAACAGGACATCCCAAAACACGATGGGTGTGCTAACCCAGGCAGGAGTAAAAAAAAAAAAAAAAAAAAAAAAAATTTTTTTTTTCCTTTTTTAGGCCCCAAACCCTAAACTGGGTGATTGGCCTTTGACATACAGCCCTACAGGACCTAAATAGGCTGCTATTCTTTCCCTACGCTGAAAGGGAGCTTTGTGCCAGGGATTCATTAAACTGCACTGCACAGCCCTTCATAAATGGGCTCAATAATGAACAGTCGATTTAACTGGAAAAGCTGCTGGAGCTGTTAAATTAAAGGGAAATAAAGTGCACTTCAGGCTCAGTCTGCCAGAAGAAAATGTTGACCTAAAAAAAAAAAAAAAAAAATCTTCTTTTTCCTGTGTTATGGCCCTAACCCATAACTGCGTGAATGGGCATTTCATTTCATTCCCACAAAGGGATCATTGGCTGCTGGGTCAAAAGCAGGAAAAAGCAGCTCTGCAGGGGAAGAGCCTCTCCAAAGGGGTAGGGGACCTACAGCAGCAAGGGCCAGCAGTTTTGAAAATACACTTCTTTAAGTACCTTGTTGGATCTGAGCTCTCCTGAAGAGAACCTGGTAGGTGCTAAACCGGTCTGGCTAGTTTTAATTCTCTTGCCCAGTGCAAAGTCAGGTGTTGTATAGGATGGGAGAGCTGGGAAGGATTGTTCTTGTCCTCTGCTTGCCATCTGCTACATCTCTGTGTTTCCCAGTGGTCTGGAGGATGCTGGGGTCCTGCCTGCCTGCACTGCTGCGGTTCTGTTGCCCCAGGCACTGGCAGTGTCCCTGAAGGCATCAGTCATCTGGCACTGCAGGCGGAGACATGGCTGATTATAGGGTGGAGACACTGGTGATCTCGGTAATAGCTGCTCGTTTCCCAAATCTCTGCCTTGAATAACATCAATGCTCACTGAGGAATTCCTAATTAAAGGGGACACAATCAAAGCTAAAACAATATTGCTTCAACTTCAGCCTGCAGTCCACTTCTGTCCATACTCCCCAAAGCCCAGAAGTTCAGAGGAGAGATGTAAATGTTAAACAAGAGAGAGCCCTGCTTTGGCTGCTTATGTTTGTTTGTTTGTTTGTTTTTGTAGGGTCCATGTAAAAAGAAGGGGGTTGATTCTTTTGTCTCCTTAATTTGGTGCAAACAAAGAGTGGTGCCGTTGACATTAGATCCATGTCAGTGTGACCAGACCAAACTCACGGTTCCTGGCCCTGCAGCAACAAAGCAACTAAACCCCCTTTTTCTCCAGCTGTGGAGCTGAGGTCGTGCTGAGCCCCCTCCCTTTGTGTGCAGGACACCAGAGATCACATAGTGTGTGCTTCTGAGTTGGTAGCATGGGTGGAGTGGGCAAAGTTGAGCAACCGCACATCCCAGTGCCCATCAGCCATGTGCTTTATGGTGGTGACACCTAGTGGGGAGCACTTGATGTCTTGGACTTTGCAGCTGGATTCACCTCCTTGGATGTTGTGGTGGAAGCCAGGGAGAAGGTGGCTGGACTCTGGGGTGTCCTGGCAGAGAGTGCCACGGCCACTCTTAGCCTTGCCGTGTCTTGATTTCTGTTTTCCAGAGAGAGCTACCGATGGGTCCCTGCGGAGTGAGGACTGGGCTCTCAACATGGAGATCTGCGACATCATTAACGAGACTGAAGAAGGGTAAGGGAGCTGGCAAGGGTGCACATCCAGTGGCTGGTCCCAACACACCCTGTAACACTACATCCCTAGACTGTAGTGGGAGCATGCACTGGTGGAGGTAATAAGCTAGGCCTCCAACAGTCCCTTAGATGAGACTCTGCTAGGAAACCTAGAGACACAGCAAAGCTGTCAGAGCATCTGTTAGATGCTTCCCTGTAGTATTTGTGAGCACTGAGAGCCATTCTAACAGGTCTTCAGGGTCCCCAGAGAAACCTCAATTCAAGCCAGGCTGCCTCCCATCTCCCAAAGGCATATTTGCAATTCTTCTACTTTGGTTTTTTCCTCCTTCATAACGTTCTCTTTCTCTCCTCTGAGAATGTAAAAATCTGCAGGCTGGTGACTGAGGAGAGAGGAAAATCTCAGGCTGCTATTCAGTCCTCTGAATGTGTGAGTCCTGCTGGGGTTTGCTTCTCAGGTATTTTCATGTACGGTCACTCAGACATGTGCAAAGTGGGTGAGGGAGCCCTTGTCTCCCTCTCCCTGCACGGAGGTGTTCAGAATCTGCCAGACTTGTTAACTCTGGACCTAGGGATTTGCCACTGAATTCAAGGGAGACTGCTCCTTCTCACAGTGGAGATGTCAAGAGCAGCATGTAAAAAAGAAGGTGCTACATGGAATAAAAAATGTAGGTTTCACTCCTGCTGTCCTACCCCACAGTGATGTTGACAGAGAATTAGCAAGCCTATTTTTCAGCTTCACAGTTGCATGAAAACAAAGTCAAACATCTCTACTCACAGATCTGTCACCATGTCTTTTCCATGCTATCCCCACAGCGCAAATACACCTGTCTCTGCTCACAGTTCTCAGTCCCAAGCTGTGGCAATTTGGTGTTCTGATTTCTCCTGCAGGCCCAAAGATGCCTTCCGAGCCATTAAGAAGAGAATTGTAGGAAATAAGAATTTCCATGAAGTTATGCTAGCTTTGACGGTGAGTGGTCAGGGCTTTTTCTCAGCTCTGTGGTATCTTGCTGTAAAACTGAGTCCTTGGCTGAAAAGACACGGGTACCTAAAGCCAACAAGGGGAACATACACAGGCAGAGAGGTTATAGCTAATGGTGCATTGCCTTTGAAGGTCCTGGAGACATGCGTCAAAAACTGCGGCCATCGCTTCCATATCCTTGTGTCCAGCCAGGACTTTGTAGAAGGTGTCCTGGTGAGAACAATCCTGCCAAAGAACAATCCACCTGCCATAGTGCATGACAAGGTGCTGACCCTCATCCAGGTGAGCCAAGAAGCGTGAGTATCTGCACCAGATCAGAGAGTGTTTGTCTTCAGGTGTTTGTACAAAAGACTACTGCAAATGGTGATGGGCTGTATTGTCTCCTTCTCCCCAGTCCTGGGCGGATGCCTTCCGCAGCTCACCAGACTTGACTGGTGTTGTTGCTGTCTATGAAGACCTGAGACGGAAGGGCCTGGAGTTCCCCATGACTGATCTGGACATGCTGTCACCCATCCACACACCACAGAGGGTATGGGAGCGTTGCTGAAGAGAAGGGTGGTGTTGGGCAGCTGCCATTCTGGAGCTATGAGGGGACTTCGGGAACTCTAGCTTGCATTTAGAGGGGTTTTGGGGAGGGAGAAGCTCCAGGACAACCACTTTCCTGGAAGAGCTATTGAAACCAGATGGGGAGTTGCCATCAACATTTCTCTCCTAATTGTACTGCCCTGTCAGCTGTGAGTGTCTAACATCTCCTTTCTGTCACTTTTCCCATTTCTCTCTGTAGACTGTGTATAGCTCTGACTCCCAATCTGGACAGAACTCATCTGCGGTCAACTCCCCTCAGCAGATGGAGTCCATCCTCCACCCTGTCACCCTGCCCACTGGGAGAGGCACATCCAGCGACGCGCCCATCACACCCACACCAGAGCAGGTGAGTTGGACACAAGCCCCGTGGTGCTGCTGACTCTGCCTGCATTTGGGGGCTGTTTCACAAACACTGTTCTGGGACTGCTGATTTGGTCCTTCCCCAGACTGTGTCCTCAAGGAGATGTTCCTCTAAAGCATAGTTCCTCGATTGCTCCTCAGAGCTCCGTTGTGGTCACAGTGATGAGCTGGGATACCACAAACACGGAGTGGTGATGTTTTTCTAAGAGCTGCTTGCAGGTAGAGGAAGGATCTCCTGGCTATAGGGAAGCGGGGAACCGAGACACAGAGGTTTTGAGTGAGGTCTTTGTAGTGCAGCACAGCAAAACCTTGCTCAGTAGATGCCTCCTTATCGTCCTTGTTTATCTTGCCTCCCTGCTGACTTTATGTGGATCAACCCTGTCTGGCTATGTGGTTTCCAAAGCCAGAGCTTTCTCACTTGTTTCCCCATCCTCTTTTCTCCTTCCTCACCCTGACTTTGTATGACACCATGTTCAGCACCAAACTTCCAGCTGTCGGTAGGTTGCATCCCCTTGCAGAACAGAGGGTAGAGACTGCTCTCAAGAGACTCATTAGCAGCTTTTGAAACCAAAGCAGTAAAGCTTCAGCTGCACACTTAGCCAAGGTTCACCTTGTGAGTGGGAATTCAGTATTTTCCCCTCTTACACTGCTTTGGAAATGGAATTATTTGAGTGGCTGCCACACAGGAGCTGCTAGCTGGATTTGAATCATAACAGTAGCCTGTACTGGCTATTAAAAATCAAGGCTACGTTAGTGGCCAAAGATCCCAGGTGAGGGCCTGGCATCTGTTACCAGCAAATGAACTTGATGGTGAGTAATGGAGCTTCCTTCTGCTGGGAGCTCCTTAGAGCTAAACTGAGTGGTGACAAATGAGCTCCCGCGTGGCCATTCGCTTTGGCTTTGTGAATGTGCACACACATGCGGTGCACTGCCATTCAGAGCTACCCCAGCTACCTCCCGAGTCTTTCCAGGTACAGTTTTCACTTCCCTCCCTTTTGCAGATCGGGAAGCTGCGCAGTGAGCTGGAAGTGGTGAATGGGAACATAAAGGTCATGTCGGAGATGTTGACGGAGCTGGTGCCATCCCAGGCCGAGTCTTCTGACCTGGAGCTGCTGCAAGTAAGGAGCACTGGAGGGGTGGCAGATGCAGCTCAATTTAGCAATGACTTGATGGACTAGGGCATGATGCATGCCAGGCGTGGGGAACAATCGGACAGTTTCGTGTGGGACTTACCGCGGAGCAATGGGATAAGGGAGACACAGGGAAGGTGGAGTTTCAATGGCCAAGGGAAGTTGCACTATTGAGGCTGGAATCATCTCACATGGGGACTTGTAGTCTGCGAGAGCCTTTCTTTCTGAGTGATGTCTTACACAAGAGGCATACAGTTATTGCCTGTAAAGCTCAGATTCAGTTTACCTCTCACACCAATATCTGTTGGCCATCAACCCTTGAAGACAGACCCCAGTAGTCTCTGGGTTTTTCTGCCCCAGTCAGACTTCCAAATCTGTGAGTGTTCAGCCTCAGGTTGACCTTTTTGGTAACTTCACCTTGCTGTGAGCAGGAGCTGAATCGCACATGCAGAGCCATGCAGCAACGTGTGCTGGAGCTGATTCCCCGTGTCCTCCATGAGCAACTCACTGAGGAACTGCTCCTCATCAATGACAACCTCAACAATGTGTTTCTGCGCCATGAAAGGTATCTCTCTTCTCCCTTCTCTGCCCTGCTCTTCCACAATAGTTTACTGCCCCCTGAAGGCTTTCTATGCAGCTCTTTTGATCTGCCCATGAGAAAAATGCTCAAGATGTATCAATCTGTATCTTCCACAAGAGTTTACTGCCCCTTGAAGGCCTCCTATGCAGCCGTTTTGATCTGCCCATGAGAAAAATGCTCAAGATGTATCAGCCTGTATCATCTGTCTTGGAGAACAAAGCCAGTTCTCAGTTTTTGCTGATTTATTCTTGTCCCTTCAAAACCACTGTGTAAGTTACTGATGGAATATAAAGATGTCCCTGTGGCATAACTTAGAAGAAGAAAGAGAGAACTGCATGGAAAGAGCTGGTTTTCTAGCTCTGAGGCAGACAGGGACAGAAAGGACTTGCCCAGGTGGGATCAGCACCCCTTTTTCTTCCATTTCACCAAACCCATCTCTTAAGCTAGGATGAATTCTGGAGAATTTAGTCCCTGTGTCTGTATGGAGAGCTGGGTTTGAACCATTTTTGTTAGAAGTAGCTCTGGAGGATCACAAGAAGCTTCCTCACATCACCTGTCAGGAGACATCAGCTCTGTGTGGCCTTGTTGTGGTGTCTTCGGTCTTGAGGGGGAATTGCGCCCTGAGCCATGGTCCCCCTTTCTTAGTATGTAGAAAAGGGCAGACTGTGCCAAGTCTTATAAGAAATCTCTTGGGGTGAATAAGCACACCCTACTGAACCCCATCCTTTCATTTTTCTTGCAGGTTCGAGCGTCTTCGGACAGGACAGCCTGTTAAGGTAACTTGGAGCAACTTTGCTGCGTCCTGCTGAATTGAGGAGAGGTTCGGTCTGCCCCATTTACAAGCTGTGGGCTTTGCTCTCCCAGCCCAGCTGCACCTACCATTCTAGTGTTCAGAACACTCCAGTTCCCACTTCTAGCTTCTCCCTCCCTGCCACTAGGAGCCTTCCCCTCACCCAAAGAACAAGAGCAGACCAGCAGCAGTTAGGGTTTTCTGGTATTGAATATCAAGAGGACCAATTCCCATATGAGCCTCCCGTTGTCCTCTGAGTACTATTCTGTCCTCTGAACCAGCACCTACCCTACTTACTGACATCCAGCTGAGCTGGGAGGCTGGCTACCAAGGCATATTCTGCCCTGGGACACTATTCCCAGCCAGTTCTCTGATCACTGCCCCCCTTCTCACAAGAAGAGGCTTCACAGCTGTTATCTTTCGATGGGTACAGAAGAGCTTCCCTCTCCAGTATTAATGAGCTATGTTAATGAGGATGGCAGGGTCAGGGTGTCTGAGCTTCAGAAAGCCTTCACCATCTTCTGTTTTTTGTTTTTTTTTTTACTTCAAAGGCACCAAATGAGGCAGAGAACAGCTTGATCGACCTGGGACCCAGTACTCCTTCTGCCGTGAGACAGCCTGAAGTCACCAACAACCTTTCCTCTCAGCTGGCTGGAATGAGTATGTTGCTTTGCAGTTTTCCCCTCAGTCCCTCCCTGTGCTGCTCTGGGAATCCATTCATGCCCTAGAATTGCTGCCTCCCAAAATTATTTAGTCACATTCATAAAGCAGCCTAGAGAAATGGGGTGTATTGTCAACTAATAAACTCACAAAGAAACTTGTATATGCCCCAAGATACACAAGCATATGTCTCAGCATCCACACCTCACATTGTGTAGGAGGTGGACATGACTTTGAAGGATCTCAGCATTAGGCTGTGGCTAAGGACTGGGCCTTCCAGCAGGGTAGGGGAGAAGGTTGCTCCTTTGCCAATGCCCAGCAGCAGTGCAGTTGCCTCTCACTGTGTGGTGTCAGGCTGATCTCTAGGGTCCGGCAGAAGGAAAGCAGCTGAGCTGTTCTGCAAAGGCAGCCGTGAGCATTTTGTGCTCGGTACCCAGGATTTGACAGGTTGTTTATTCAAAAAGCCTGAGGGGTCCTGAGGGTTCTTCAAGACATACCAACAGCCTACATAGCACTGCCTGAAGCTCTCTCTAACTCTGAGCACATTTGGTACAGCTTGGATGCAGCTACAGAAAATTGGCAAGACTGTTTTTACAGACAAGCCAGTTGAGATACTTTTCAAGTCAGGGTTTTTCAGATGATGCCCAAGTCATGAAAATCCACTCATCTGTCTCAGAGGTGCTTTCCCAGAAGCACAGGTTATCCTCTTCCACAGATTATAGAGCAATTCCTTCTGAGTTGTCTTAAATGGTCAGGAACATCTAGCCTTCAGCATCAGTGCAGTCAATTGATGCTGCTGCTGCTGCCTGAGACTGAGCTAAAAATATCTGCTGAGCAGGCAAAGAAACCGCTTCCCTTACTTCACCCACGACACTGCCCACATGCATAGACTGTGCTGCAGCTGAGGGGCAGGATAGAGGAGCAGGCCTAGTGAAGTTTAGCCTATTCTGATGCTGGCTTTCCACCTAACACTCTCCAAGCCCTCTGTTTACTGCTCCGTGCGGTCTGCTCACCCTGCTCTCTCTTCCACAGACCTGGGCTCGAGCAGCGTAAGTGCAGGACTGCACTCCCTCGACACCTCTGGCAAGCTGGAAGAAGAGTTTGACATGTTTGCCCTGACCCGTGGCAGCTCACTGGCTGAGCAGCGCAGAGAGTGAGTGTGTCAGCCCACCCCGTCCTGCCCTGCCCTTCTGCAAAGGGGGAAAGCTCAGGGACACCGGGGCTGTGACCCCAACCAGCAGCAGTTCCAGGGAGACAGGAGGATGCAATAGAAGTGTACTCTTCTGACACACAGTGGTTGTAGGAAGACCTGTGTGCTCCCAGTCATTCTTCCTGCTGCTGTCATCTCCTCTTCACAGTGTCTTCCTGGGCATGGGAAGAAGGAAGTGGTCTCTAAGTGTGCGTGTCCCCCCGCTGCTGTGTTAGTGGACTGTGGTGCCACATGTGCTGGGGAGGCTTAGTGTCTGGAGATGAAGGTGTGAAGTGGGACTGGCTAAGTTTTCTTCTCTGTCTCTGAACTCATGTGCCCTGACTGGGGTGATGTTGAGTTTGGGAATCGCTGAATATCGATGCAGCCTGATGGCAGAGCATTGAACTGGAGCGCAGGGAGTACACAGTCAGTTGTGGTTTGCAAGGCAGGGCACTGCTCTGTGCCTCAGCTTCCCTGTTGGTAAGTGAGACTGATGTTTTTTCCTCCATAGTGTGTTTGAGACCTTCTGGTGTATAGTACTAAGAGTTGGGTCTCCATAGTACTGGCTGAACTGAAGAGGTCTCTTCTCTACTGCAAAATGTGGATTCCTGAATCCTTGTTCTGGGAGGAGCTGGTGAGCTGTGCTGACCAGATCCCTGTGGCTCGAGAGACTGCATCTGATTTCACTCTGTTTTGCCTGTGAGAATGACCCACTGCTCTCCATTGCTTACCAAGCAGTAGAGCCCACAGGCACGTGGCTGCTTCCAGCCCTCAGAGACTTGCGCTCCTCATCTCCATCCACTGGAGTGCCTTGTTCTGCAGCTGGGCAGTAGCAAGTTAAGGTCTCCTAAAGATGTCTCCTTTCATTCCTCTGCCTCAGACTGTTTCTAGTAAAAGTGGTAGGGAAATCCATGGCCTACACACAACTTCATGTGTTTTGCCCATGGGTTTCCCCGCCAGTTTTACTGTGGGGTGTGCTGCCTGAGGACAGAAGCAGTCCAGGACAAAAACAGTGGTGCCGACAGCACCCGATCTGGGTCTGAAATCTGAGCCATTGGTATGTGCTCCGTGTTGAAGGCTGAGGGAGATCTGGGCAGGCGTGAAATCATATCCTCTCTGCTGTGGCGCAATCCTTAATGGACTGAGGCTTGTGATCTCAGCACAAGTTACGAGACATCTTCTATTTATTCTTCACTGCCCTCGATCTGCTTGCACTTGCACTCCTGCCAGGGAGCCTCTACTCTCACTGGCTCAGGCTTCCCATTTCACTCACCAGCCTCTGGTCTCGGTGTCTCCCTCCGTCTCTACAGATCCATTGCCCTGCTGCTCCTGGACAGGACGTGCTGACAGGAGACACAGGCAGGGCTGCTGGGGTTTGTTCCTGACCCCACCGTGCTCCATGTGTGTCTCGGTGAAGCAGTGCTTGAAACACCTCAAGCCTTTCCTACCATTCTTCCTCATCAGTGGCATGATAGCCGCATTGTACTTCATCCTTGATGCCATTGTCCACAGCGGCCCCTTCACTGATGAGCACTTCTTTGAGAAGTTTGAGCGCCGGTGGCCCAAGCCTTTGGCCCCCAACAAAAACAGCTCCACTTGACGATCTGCTGGATCTGCGAAAAGGGGCCTGGGAGCAGCTGGAGAGGAGACTTGTGGAGAGTGTCTGGGAGAGGCTGCATTCTCCCAGCATGGATGGACTGTTTTCCTCACTCTGCATGGAACAAATGGTGACGTGTGGCATTAGCATGTGTCGTAGCAGCATAGAGGGGACACAGAAATGGAGTGAGGGAGATAATGAGTGAGACGTCTCCTGTGTGGAAAGAGGTTGCTGTAATGGTGCATTTGGAAACCTTGAAGCAACACTAGGCTATTCTGATCATCCAGTCTCACCTCCTCTGTAGCACAGACCAGTGAGTCTCCACCACCATCAGTTCATGAGTGGTGTTGGTTAAAGAGATGGTTTTGAGCTGTGTTTGTGTCTGTGAAGGTAGTTGAATATGAGGGACTTGTGGCTCAAATCCTTTCTAAAGTAGCTATAATCTTGTGGTCAATCTGTGTTAGTTATCTCTCTTCTGGAGTCAACCCCAGAGCAGATGAGTGTCATGGTTGATGTACCTAGCTCTGTAATTTTAGTCTGTTGGGTGGTTGTTTTCATATGATGCATTGTCATCCTCCTGTCAGGTACTAGGGCTGTGCTGTGGTATCTCACAGTGATATTGCAGTGAGTAGATTAGTCTGTTTTGTGGTGGGCTACACTTTTAGTAAGGGTTTTGCACACCTTTCTAGAAGCTCTTGGGAGCAGAATGATGAGAGGAAAAGCTGTGCATTCAGAAGCCCTGAATATATGTTTAGGAGTTCCTGCTCTTCACTCTGAGGCATCTCATCAACCTGTGTGTTATCTAACTTCATGCTTTCAGGGTAAAATACGAAGATCCCCAAGCCTCCAAAGGACTCGCTGGTGCCCTGGATGCCCGGCAGCAGAACACAGGAACGGTAAGTGGCCACAGAGCTTTTAGTGCATCACCAGGAATGAGAGTATCCTCCTTGCTCACCAACACAATAAATGTGCTGTCTGCTTGGAAAAAATCAAGTCCTTAACATGACTGATGATAACTCCCAGTCTCCACCAAATCACATTTCCTACCTGGGCTCTATACCTCATTATTTAATGAGAATAATAGGGGAACTATAGAAAGTTTGGGATCGACTCAGACAGCAACAGGATGGCCTCCTTATATCTGCAGGGAAATTTCCACCTGGAAATGTATGTTTTATTCATCTTCAGCAGGTTTCCAAGTCCAGTTGCCTTCTCTCTGCAATCAAAGAAGCAGGCCACCTGTACTAGTGTGTTCTTTCCCTCACCCTAAACCCACTGCCTCCCCGCTCCCTCACCCTCTGTGATAGCAGCTTTCAGTGCAGACTTTCTCTCAACCAGGGGGACTCTGGTGCCTCTAGTGATGGAGCCCAGCTGACTAAGTGGATGATGCGGCAAGGAATGGTGAGATCATGGAGTACCAGCAGGGAGAAGGAGGCTGGGGCTGCTGAACTAGAGGTGGTGCTGGCACAGCACATGAGGATGCACAGCAGACATCAGCAGAGACTGTAAACTGAAGTGGAGCAACCCTGGTCTGGGCAAGTAGTGGAGACCAGGGTTGGTAGGAAGCAGGCAGAATGTCAGTCCTATCTCAAGTAAACATGTCTGTAGTAAAAAATTCTAGGAGCTCCAAGGCCAAGAAAGCATGTGCCACTTTTTGAGCTAGAGCCTGTTTTGGGGTGGGTGTCTGGGGCAGGTGGCATCATCAGGAATGCTGCTGCCATTTATTCCCCCTGCAGCCTCTCCTGCTCAGCATGAGCTGTCCCATTTCGAGGAAAACACATTCCAGCTTTTACCCTGTTCAAGGCCTCCTCTCTAGCTAAAGTGTTTGATTCTTCAGGCTGTTGAGTTTGGTCTTTTGGCTGCAGGAACTCTTGCAATTACATCTCCTCAGACAAACTGAGGCTTTGACACACTCCCAGGTCTGACACTCATTAGCCTGTCTTCCTGAAATGGGCACTGCCCAGACTGATGTCTGCTAAAGGAAGTTTCCCCACATGCTTGGGTTTCCCCAGTTGGCTTGGGTGCACTTCTGCCCCAAAGAGTTCCTCTTTGGGTAGGCAATGCCAGTTTGCTTCGAAACTTCCCTAATCTCACACATCCTCTTCCATCCCCATTCATCCGTCTGCCACCTGTGGTAACTATCTGCACTTGCTCCCCTGTTTGGGGAAATCTGCTTGTCCTTGATAAGAAAGCGTTGCTCTTTTTCTTGATCTTGCTGTTTTCCTGAGAGCAAGGGAGCTATACATATTAGGAGACTAATAAGTAAGTTCCCACAAATATTCTCTCATGCTTCTGCTTATAGAGCCTGTAGCAAGGGTTGCTTCTTGTTCACCTTTGTTCAGGAGCTTGTGACTGGAGAAAAGGATCTGGGGTTTTGGATCAGACTTAGAGGTAATTTTGAAGGAAACTGTCCACTAAGAACGTGTTTCCTTGCTGTTTACATTGGCCAGGGACATGAAGTCTTCTGAGCTAGCCTCATCCTTTATGGAAGTACAATTTACTTTAATTGTAGAGGACTTCCTTTTTGCTGGGTCTGTTTCTGTAGTTTGGTGTGATGTCAAATCCTGCTGTGCTCCATGTTCATATGAGGGAATCACTTCTTGGCAGGTGTCTTTCCCCCTTAATGCGGTGCCAAACCTGGCACATCCAATATCTTCAGCATCACAACTTTGACATCAGACTGTCACTGGTTTGTAGAAGGGAGGAGGTGTAGAGAAAAGCATGTCTCTTGTTCTCTGGCTGCCTAACACAAGCAGCCAACTCCCTCACCAAAATGGAAAGCCTGGTCCAGTCCTAATACCCCAAAGGCAACCACCAAACCCCAGATACTTTTAGTGGTACATATCCTGGAAACTGTGCGTGTCTGCCTGTGGATGGGGCAGAGGAAGCAGGTGAGCGGTGGCATTAGTAGCTGGGAGAGCTTTGCAGTTGCACTGGCTAGACTTGGAAGGGCTGAGCTGACTGAACGGTGGGGCAATAGGGTTAGCTTTTGGGTTGTGCTTTCTTTTTGCAGAGTGGGTTTCCTGGCTCATCCTCTCTTTTCTTGGCCTCATCACACCCTTTCCTTCTGTCGTAGGTGCCGGTTCCCCAGGCCAATTTCATGGAAGACATAGAGAAGTGGCTCTCCACTGATGTGGTAAGTGAGGGGCTGCTTTCCTGGAGCCAGCAGTCCTGCCAGAGTTGTCTGCAGGGCTGGATTTTGGGCAGTGTGCTACAGCACCAGCACTGCTGAATGTGTGGCAGAGGCTTCTCGGAGGGAGCTGGGGAAGAAAATCCAAGGACACAGGGTTTGGAATACCACACCAGTATAACTGGCCTTCTGGGAGGCACAGCTAATGAACTGAGGCTCAGGGCCACTCTAACACGTCTGTGCTGCAGAAGTGGTGGGAGCACTGTCCTGTCTCTCTCCATGCAAAGAATCATATCTGTGAAAACACCTTTGCCTACCTTCCTTCTAACCATGCCTCTCTCCTCCTTCCCTAGGGAGAGTCAGAGGATGGAAAAGGTGTCACCAGCGAAGGTAAGACTTGCCAGCCAACCCCTTTCTCCAGCTGTTTCTGGCAGCACTTTGGCTTTTCCACAAACCTCCCTCCTTGCTAATTGTCTGCCCCTCTCTCGCCCCAGAGTTTGACAAGTTTCTGGAAGAGCGAGCAAAAGTTGCAGACCGGCTACCCACTTTGTCCAGCTCCTCAGCAGGGACGTCCGTCTCCCCTCCTGCTGCCAGCCACCATCGGAAGCAAGCAAAGGAAGATGATGCTATGTTTGCCTTGTGAATGCTATGGACTGGTATGCTGTGGAGCAAGAGGCTGTGTGTGCTGTTTTGCTTGCCTCCGACCAGGGGCCAGCAGGGGAAGGACTCTGTCCCCTTCCTCCACTCTCTTCCTGTTTTCCCTTTGAGTTGTTTTTATTTTTAAGCTGCTTTCAGATTTTAGATAATCTTTGTTGTGTTTAGGGATGTCACACAATAGACTTGTGAAGGGGGTTTTCAAAGCTGCTAGAGAATGTGGGAGTTTGGTGGGCTTTTGTTTTTTTTCGGTACAGTGTGGGCAAAGCGGAAGAAGCTTCCCATCCTCCTCTCCAGTGAGGTAGATAGAGATCTTGCCCAAAAAACAGGAGAGGCTGCAGTCTGCTGCTGAAATCATTCCTGCCTGCCTCTTCCCTCACGCCGTCCCTAGAATGGATCTCCAGCCCTCTGCCTGCCACTGTTAGACTGGGAAGCATGAGGATGTGAAGCATTACAGGTGGCAGAGGAGGAACACTACTGGTAGAGGGACCCTGTTGCTCTAGTCTCTCTTGCACAAGTGCTTGTGATATGCAACACCTTCCCACTCACAACCCCTTCTCTTCCTCTTCCTTTCCTCCCCCTCCCTGTCAGTTTATCCAGAATCCTACCCACAGCCCGAATGTCTCCCTTGCAGGACAGCCAGCTACCAAAGCCCCTGGCTGCACACAGGGCTTGAGCTGCGAGCGGTACCCCAGGCTGAAGGGGCTGTCTGCTATGGGATAGGATGTGCCTTCGGCAAACTCTTTGCAGTTAATTTAATTCTCCCATTATTATACTACCTTCCCCCTCTCTCCCCGATGCAGTCCCACCTCCCTCTCTCACTTCCACTGATGCCTTCCACCTCTTTGTGGGGCGTCTCTCCAAGCCTCTGATGAGGCCAGCGCTGCAGACTCCTCAGGGTAGCTCTGTGTGCTGGGAGCAAAGAGCTGTGTTCCCTAAAGCTGAAGGCCCTTCCATCGCCACACTGTCATACCAGAGAGAACACGCTGTTGCTGGGGTAGCTTGTTTAGCTGGTGAGCACAGAGATGAAGTAAGACATCAGTCATCTTTGCCCCAGCAAAGCAGCCCTGCAGCAGCCAGAAGTTCCTTTGCACGTGGGGTGAAAAACTTCTGAGCAAACTGCACACGCTGCCTAATTGCAAAAAGGCAGCTGGGGAGGAGGGTGCCAAGCCTGGGGCTCCTGCTCATGGGATTTCTTGTTGAGCGTGGGAGAGTTGCCTTTTTTTTTTATTGCACATTAAAGGAGCAAAGTCTCGAGCCTCCCTTGAAGATACGTGTGTGCTGTCAGTGCTGGCGTGGGGAGGGGAAGGCCCGGAGGAGGAGGAGAGGGGTGCGACCCTGCAGCCACGTTTGCTCTCCATGGAAATGTGAGGGCACCATGGCACTGAGACAAGGCACGTCAGGATGCTGCGAGCCAAGGCAGGTGCTTGCTGCTTTTTAGCACAGTCTCCTGGGGAGGTGACTACAGCCCATCTCAAAATAGCAAGAGGGCAAGCTACCTCCTCACCTTTCCCTCTCTGCCTTGTGACCAGATCCAAATACCTACCTTGCAGCCCATAAATCACTTAAAAGACATGCAAGATATGCAGTTGCTACAGAAGGGCTCTCTGGTATCCACAGGGCGTCCTCAGTTGTCCCCATGCCATCCCCTGGTGTCCAGCTGAGTGGGAGCTGGGGGAAGGAGTCTTAAAAGGAGATTGAACAGGTTGAGAAAGTGTCATCTGAGCCCCCGACTTGTAGGAAGGAGTTAAATTAGCTGAAGTCATCCAGACCTCAGCACCTCCCTCTCCCCCTGCCTGCTCTGCAGTCTCAGCTGTACCAAGCTGGGGCAGAGGCTTGAGGATAAGAGCTGTGAGCAAAGCTGGTCTGTGGCTGGTGGCAGCGGGGCTGGAAAAAGCAGTGTGCTGGGTTTCCTCCTCTGCCAGCACTTGTGGGTCGGGAGGAAGCTTTGTGCTCTTCGTCAGCTTTCCAAGTCAGACAGCACATACTCTCCTTGGACAGTTCGTCCCTTGGAAAAATGAATCACCATTTCCAATTCCAGTGCGTTCCCAATGCCTCTGGGAGGAACCAGGGGAGAATCTCTCTGCTCTCCACCAGGTGGTATTATATATATGTAATATAACCCTTTTTGAGCAGCAGTCCTCAAACCAGGGTGTGCATCTTATCTTCTGGAGGTGGTGGGGAGGAGAAAGCCCAGCCTAATCAGCCTAAGAGCTGCCTGTCCTGTCCCATCTTGCTGGTGAGTCCATAAGTGGCTCTGCTGGAGGTTGCCTGAAACTAAACAAGTCTTGGCTTCATCTCTGAGCTACTCCTCCTCCTGCAGCCAGTTCAGCAGCAGGACTTCACTGGGCCACAGGACCCCACTCTTCCCACCTGAAAAGGGCTTGGGTGGGACAAAGGGTGCAAATGAAGAGCGCAGCCTAAGAGCTGCGGGTTTGTGCCTTACCAAATGTGTGAGGGTTTCATGTGGCAAGCACATGAAGGTGCTTGGTAAGGTGTGCAAGGTAAATGCAGGGGAGCAGCAGGGCCACACACCTCTGTCACAAGTGCAAGTGCATTTTTACCACACACAGCTTTCTGAAATATCCCTCTTTTTTTGTTTTTTTTTGGTGTTTTTTTTTTTTTTAACTCTCCAAAGCATCCTTGGCTCAGCAGATGCTAGAAGTGAAACCCGGGGCGAGAGGCTGGATTTGCCCTTGCAGTGCTGGCTCTGGCCTCTGCTGTCACCCCTGTGGCAAGCCCAGAGCCAAACTCATCTCCCTGGAGAGCACCTTCCCCCAAACCCAGTGAGGGCACGCAGAGCTTGCACCAAAGGCTCTGTGCTGGGAGTGTGGCCCGCAGGAGGATACTTGAAGTCAAGGGCCCATGAGGGTCAACGCAGCATCCCCCCCAGTGCTGCAGACCTGCGAGGGCAGGTCCCTCTGATGAGACAGGACTCTGAGCTGCGATGGGAGGGTCTGAGATCTCCTGCAGTTCCCTCCTGTGAGTCTCAACAGAAAAACAGAGAACAAGAGGGAAAGGCAAAAGGGTTAAACGCTGAACTTCCCAGAGCAGAGGCATGATGGAGCCCAGGCTGGTGGGCTTTGCAATTGTGGGGCCAGAAGGGTCTCCAGAGCAAGGGGCCCGATGCCTAAACCCTCTTGCCAGTGCCTGGACTCGAGCTGCCTGGCTCTGTTGGGAAGGGAGGGCTTCTGGTGCTCGGTCAGCATTTGTGAAGGACACCAGCCTGTTCACACCAGTAACGTTCTGAACGCTGGATGGTGCCTCAGCGAGCGGTTACAGTTCTCAGTGCCTCCAGCTCCCTTGGTGTGCGACAGCACTGCCTCTGGCTTTCCCTGAAAGAGAAATTAAGCCATCCCCCAATGTATACCCTCAGCATGAGGAGCTCAAGCTCCTCCTTGCTGCCTCTGGGATGCCCTGAGACCACCTCAGGATAAGGACCCCTTCTCCACCCTGACCTTGTTTTCCTCCTCCCCAGACAGACAGCACGGGTGCTGGCAAAGCCAAGAGGGGACCGTCCCCAAGGAAGACTAGAGGGCAGGGGAATTGGGCCACCGCTATTTTTGTCATGGGGCGAACAGTTGGGATGGGCTTTTGGTGGCTGCCAAGTAGGGTCAGTTTGAAGCAATGACCAACAGGTGAAAATCCAGAGTGCTGCTGATGGCCATCCAGGCGAGCCTGTCCCCTCCCCACCACACAACCAGCTGTGGTCGTGGTGCTCTTCACTGTGGGCCACCCAGCGCAGAGACTTATCCTACAGGGATGACGTCTCTTTTTTTTCAAGCAACTGAAAATATTAAGAATGGGGATGAGGGCGTGGAATCTTTCCATGCCCAAATTAGTGCTTGTTATAGATTATACCAGTAATAGCTTGAACAATTTTGCAAGGTTTCTATTGAGGACGAACTTGGGAAAAAAAACCTGCCAGGTCTGCAAGGGATGACTTTAAGTAGAGGCCAGATGTTTTGCATGGTCAAAACCTGCTTTAATAAAATGGCACCACTATAAAGAATTCCTTTAATTGCCTTTCCCTTTTCAAAAGCGTTTTCTGGCGTTGCTATTTTAAAAAGGAATAATGCTGCCTGATCGCCTGTGACCACCAGATGGCTGTGGTCCCTCACACACTCTGCCCCAGCTCCACCAACTGCAGACAATACCTCCTTGCTTCGCAATGACCTGCTTAGCTGGCTGTGCAACCACTGGAAACAAAACAAACCAAAGTTTTTCCCTTATTCTAAGTATTATGCTGCAACCATTAGCCCAGTGTGGACTCACACAGTGACTGCTCCAGAGCGTGCACTCAGGGGTGGGGAGCGGGGAAGGAGCTTGCACTGTGTCTGAGCATCCATGAATAACCACACTGGGAACAGGATCCTGGCCTGAATGGATATTCTGCATGACCCAGAGCAGTTGTTTCTATGTAAGCTGAGGAAAGGCATAACTTCCTTGTACTGGGTCAGAGTTGCTCCACGTATCTAAAAATTAAATTTATGCTACAAGCTGATGAGAATTTCCATGATGTTTGTGTTTTGTGGTTCCGGGCATACCAGCGTCACATTTGCAGAGACAAAAAAATCCATGCTTCTCTTTTTACCTACTACCAACCTCCAAATAGTATATGAATTTTTATTTTTTTTTAAAAGAGTGCCTAACTAAACCACCCGATTTCCCACATCACCTCAGCATAGAAGTGTCCCATGCTACTACTACTGGGAAGGCTGCTCTCCATCCCACAGGACTTTCATGTTGCTCTGCCATGTCAAAGCTTCCTCAAAGCTTATTTTACATAACGAAATTCCCCCTTCCTTCAAAAAATGAGAATAAAGCCACTTCCCCTTCCCTTAAGATCAGTGTTAGGGCACTGCTTAGGGCAGACAGTGCTGGGAAGGGATGTGCAGTGGGGATCCAGTGGGCAGCAGAAAGGGGGGTTGCAAGGAAGGAAAATATTTCTATAAGTGACTTGCTTCTATCTCTGTGGAAGCATAAGCACATGGAAGCACAAGAAGAGAGGAAAGAGACAAAAAAAAGGAGGAGGATAGGAAAATGTGCAAAAACGCCAGAGGACAAGCCCCCGTGCTCGGAAGCGAGGAAATGGAGGTGGCCGGTGGTGATGGAGAGGAGGTGCAACACAAGGAGCTGTACTGGCAGCCAGTCCGTTTATTTTCTGCTTCTCCTGAAGACCTTTCAGTGACCACAAGGACAGAGGTGACTTCTTGCACCAGGGTGATGCCAAGGTGCTTGTTAGCATTGACTTGCCAGCTCTCTCCTGTCTTTTAGGGCACCCCAAGCATCCCTCAGGGTGCCCGGCAGCTCTGCTGCGAGTTGGGTGAACGAGTGCTCCCATTGCTTTTTGTCAGTGACCGGCAAAACCCCAGTGAGGGAACGGAGACTCAGAGGCACGGGCTCACCAGAAAAAGCTTCCTCTTCCTTCTCTGCTGCCGTCCTTGCAAAATCTCCCATGTGTGGGAGGGTGCATGGGAATCGCAGCGGGTTTGGGCTGCATGAGCGGGCAGATTCGGTTCCCCCTCCCGAATCACCAGGTCACCGGGGGGTCAGAGGGATGGAGATGGGTGAGGGGGGACAGGATCACTCCCCGTGGGTGGGAGAAATTCATGGCAGCAGCATTCCTGTGGGGCTGGACCATGGTCCTTGCTGGGAGCCCCTGGGGAGATGGGCTCTGCATCAGGGCTTTTCTTGGGGGAGATCAGTAATTCCCTCCTGGCACAGAAAAGCCGCGTGTGCCAGTCTCCAGGCACTGCATTTTCCCGGCCAATCTCAGCAGGAAAGCGTGGATCAGGCACAAGGTGAATTTACGGTGGGGTGAGGCGAGGACACAGCTTTCCTGCGGCTTTAGGGGAGGCTCTTTCTCGAGCACAGAGCAGCAGGAAAATCTGTGTTTAGAAAAATTGCTGAGAGGCAATTCAGTGGTATTTTTAGCTCTTTGGCCAACAAAAAAAAAAAAGAAAAAAAAGGCCTGAAATACCAGGCCAGTCTCAGTGGGAGATAGGTGCCAATTTCTCTGAGCTCCTTTGCTCCTTTTTCTATTTTCAAAATAGCAAAAAAAAAAGATTTAAAAAGCCAGGGTGTGGGTGACGGACTGCCAGCAGTGTCCCTGTGCCCGTTCCCGCTGCTTTCAGGCAGGGACTTGTTTTGTGCAGTGACTCACACCAGCAACCACCAGTTCTGGCAGAGCGATAAAGGGGGGTGGCTCACCCCATGCCGAGCACCTTTGGTCCCTCTTGTGTCTGCCAGACCGCACCCAGCAGCTGTACACTTTTAATTCAAACCTTTCACTGCCCAGGAGCTCCTGTTAATGATTATTTAGCTCAGGAACCGCAGCCATGGTCCCGAGGTCCTGCTGTGCTAGGCACTGCGTGGGTGAAAGGGGGTGTCTGCCACACAGAGCCAATAGTCCCAGCTTGCTGGTGCCCAGGATGATAGGGAAGATCTCCCCAAAAAGGGGGATGTTCTTGCTTTTTTGCACTAGCAGCCACGCTAGTGCATGGGGCTCTCCAATGCTGAGCCCACCCTGCCCCTAAATGAAGGGCTTTTTGAAGAAATATCTGCCCTTGCTAATTCCACTTTTTCTTATTCCTTCTCGTTAGTGAGTAGCATCATACTTTCAAAACAAAGTTCTTCCAAAGAGCAGCTCGGTCAGGTAAATTCAGTCTTGCCTGCCTGCCCTGGAGTGATCTTTTGTAATGAGGGAAGAAAAAGAGAGGAGGAAGGGGGGGACATAGCCTACGCCACAGACACCCTGTATGGCCTTGAGCAAGTCGCTTAAATTCGGCATGCCCCCCATGCCAGCCTCTAAAATAAACTCCTTCCCACACCTCATATCTCCTGGGTTTGATGTTTTCTGCCAGAACAGGCGAAGCCAGGAGCCCATCCAGCATTCCCAGAGAGTAGTGTTCCCATGCCTTGATCCCCCCCTATGGAGCAGGAACTGTCCTGGTCTCAGGGCAGATGGCCACAGTGTCCCCAGGACAGCAAGGTGTGCAGTTTTCCCACCCCGGGACACCAACTTTTTCAACCTTTCCTGCCTCCCATCCTCCCTTGGTGCAGCTGGGAAACGAGGACCATTTTGGGGCTGCCAGCGTTGCCACATGTCCCACTGAGACCTCCCCACTCTTGCGTGAGCCCAAAACCCAGCTGCCTGCTTCCCACTAATGCTGACTCGCCCTTTCCCCCAGCCAGCGTGGGCATCCTGCTGAGTCAGGGTCAGGCTGGGCCACCCCAGATTTGCTGAGTAAAGGTTCAGAGGGGCTCTTTTGCTGAGTCAAGGTTTGGGGCTCTTTTGCTGAGTCACGGCGGAGCGGTGAGGCTGTGGACTGCGGGGGCGGATCCCAGAGTGCCGCCCTGAGATTGCAGCTGCTGCTCTTGGCCCCGGTCCCGCATCTCGGGACAATCGGAGAAATCTCCAGAAACAGCCCCAGCTGCTCACAGCCCGTTGGCTGCCCGGCACTGTGGAGGAGGGGGGAGGACACACGTCTCTCCCATAACCCAGGGGCAGGGAATCACACAGACATTGTTTGGAAACTTTGGGGTTGGGTCTCAGTTTCTCTGCAAAACTTGGTTTCCAGCTCCATCTCCTCCCCTCCCCTGAGAAAGGTCCTCCTTTTGTTGCATGAATGTGATTTTCGAATCCAGATTTTCAGTTTGTCCTGTCTCACAGCCAGGGCACACTTTGTTTTACACGGTTGTAGCACGGAAACAAAGGAGGCAGCACAGACTGAAATGGTTGTATGGATGGGGTTTTTTATTTGATAACTCCGCACTGCTCCCTTCCGCACCTCCCTTTTGCTCCCAAAGCAGAGCCCCAGCAGATCACGGGGTCTGTCCCCACCAGCACCAAAACTCTGAGAAGTGTGGTGGGCTCTATGTATTCGCCCCCAAAATTTCAACCCAGTGTACCCATAACCCAGAGACCTGCTTCAAACCTCAGGTCACTGCCTGACCCTGGGTCTCTGGTCACAAAGCAGACACCTGCCTTGCAGGGTGCTTGCTCTGTTCTCAGCCAGCCCAGAACTCTCCCCTTGCTCGTAGCCATGCACTGGAGATATATATATCTATACATCTATAAAAATATGTGCTGTAATCTGTGCTTCTTATTTTTGTCACGCTGGTACATTTATGCCCAAGAAATCTGCCTGCACCTCCCTCTCCCACCACGTTGGTCTCTGGGGTTCCCGTGTGTGGGGTTTGCCTGGCACAGCCATATATCCATCTACAGGTACCAGCAATGCCATTCTGGAGAACCCCTGCAGCGCCTGCGCTCCCCATGGTGATTTCCAGTGCATTTTGCCCCCAGCCTCCCTTCCTCCACCTGCATCTTTGATCTAGACTTGGACCGTTCAACGCTGACAGCAGCGAGCACAGTCCGTTCTGCCAGGGCTGGGCTGGGCCAGGCAATCTCCCTTTGATAAACACGAATTAACCCGTAACATATTCCCCCGTGCTCCAGCACCAACCCCCTTCTTCAACAAGTCATTTTAAGCAGTTATCGCAACTTCTTTATTGTGTTCTGCTTTTTTTTTTTTTTTTTCCCCTGCCATTACGCAGCAATTCCTGGTCACTGAGTCAGCTTTCCGGGTGCAGATCAGGCGGCTGGATTTTGCTGTGTCATGGTCTGAGGGAGTCCACCCATTAACCCCTCCGAGCCGGCCAAGGCTGCCTTTCACCGGGTAGTGCCTTCTCTGATGAGCAGAGCTGCTGCTCGCCGGGAGCCACCAGCCAGAGCCCAGCGTGGAACAGCACTTCCCACAGGGGTTCAGGAGAGCTGACTTGGCACTCTCTGACTGCCTCTGTAGCTAGGCATTTCTCACTACAAATCTATCAGCAGAACACAGTGTTAAGTCTATAAAGAGGACAAAATCCCCCAATTCTCTACCCCTGATGAAAACACCGACCCCTCAGTAACTTTCTGTTGTGGTTAACCCTTCATCCACACCATCTCTTGATTAAGCGTTTTCTCTGGGAGGCTTTTAAGCCCAGCAGGAACTATTAAAAACATCTTGCCTGAGGCTAATTGATTCATCTTTGCTAGAAATCTCCTGGGCACTTTCACTGGTGCCCATGGACATCACCCTCACAGCAAGTAGCTCTGGCACCATCCAGCCGCAGGAGATGGCAGGACTTCTGGCAGGCACGGTGGGAGACCACAAGTCTGACGTTTCGATGAGGTCCAAGAAAAATGTCCTAGTGACCTGGATGCAGCCTGGCCTCTGCTTTCCAGCAGCCCACTGTGCCCAGAGTGATTTGCTTTTGGGGGCCAATTTGTTCCTTCTGGTGAAAGCACACACCTCCTTCCTCGTGCATCACTCTCAAGTGTCGACTTCCCAAGTTCTCTTCTAGGAAGAGATGGTCCCTCACACATCTCTGCCAGCACACTGGCACACGCCGTGTCATTAACCTCCCTGCACCACACAGCAACAGCACAGCAGAAGCAATACAAGTCCTTGCTGCAGAGCATTGGATGGGGCCAGAAATGCTCCAGGCCAGCAAGTGCAAAGATGATGACACCTCACTTTCAGTTCTCCTTCCATCTTGCTGCAGGGCATTGGAGCCTTTCCGGAGCCTGATCTCACAGCTGCTCCATCCCAAGTAACCCTGATCAGCATAAACTGATTCTGTGACATGGTTTGCTTGCCTGCACCTGTGGAAAAGCTCACAGAGAGGTGAACTGCAGTAGGGACCTTATCTCTTGTGACCAGCCCAGGAGAAAGTCAAGCCCCAAGACCCAGAAGGAGGTACATTGGCTCCATGTCCTGGGGCAGCATGGTTATGAGCCCAGCCCTGTTCCTGGGAAGAAGTATCCTACCTGGAATGGCATCAACATGACTAGACAGCCTCTCTCTCTTTCCCCCAGTCTCACATCCACACCTACCACAACCCTGGACAAAAACGAAGTAGGAGAAGCTTTTGGATATGTCCATTAGAGCATCTCTTAGAAGATGGCAGGAAGGCAGGGGACAAAAGCACTGGCCTGAAAGCAACCAGAAAGTCTTTGGGGAGGAACTGGATATATTACCAGAGCTGCAGAACAGAGGTGAAAGGAGAGGCAGGGCTTGAGGGCTGGATTTTTTTCATATTATTAGTTTTTTTCATATTATTAATTTTCATATTTTCATCTATTTCCTACTTCCCTCCAGCAGAACTACAGGTTCAATCTGTGCTCGAGCTTCCCATGTCAGAATAGGACCCACTGAGAAGGACAGAAAATGTGAGCTTTAAGAAACAATGGCAGAGGGAAATGCTAATTTTGGGGCCATCCCTGTGGCAAAATGGCATCAATGTTTTCAGGAGGGACTGGCCGTACAGCCCTATGCTCCCATGGCACAGGAGCCCTCTCTCAGGGGACGTTTGGGGCTTTGTCACGCTTGCTTCAAAGACTCACACATCCCGAGGTATGTGTATTTTACCTTATAGAAAAACATAGCAAGGGGGTGAAAGCGGTACGTGACAGCTTGTGGTAGTGTGCACTGTTGCTTTAAAAGACAAAAGCAAGACAGGAAAAGTCTGGCTGAGTCAGGGTGGAAACGCTGAGTAATCCTTCCTGAGAGCTGCACCGCAGGCCAGATGTCTGCCCGAGTTGAAAAACAAGCAGGGAAGCATATTTCCTCCTGGAGAGCTTTCTAAGCTACGGCACCAAATCCAGCTGTGGCCAGGTGTAGGTGCAGTGATAGGGACACACACGAGGTGCGTGACTTGGACAACAGCACCCACCAGCAAAGCCACAGGGTGCACTCGGTGGAGGGGACAGAAGATGCCACAGTCCCTCTCCCCCCTCCCCAAGCTTTGTCTCTCTACCAATGACTGTGCAACAGCAGCCTTGGGCTTTCTCACACCCACAGCAGCAGGGGAATGGTGGCTTTAAGTGTCCTGTTCTTCGGGTTGAGCACAAAATGTGTGCTTTTCTAAGTACAGCAGGCCAGTGCATCGTCAGTCCTGGCTAGTCCTACTCCCAGCACAGCTACGGTTGGAAAAGAAGTGCTTCCAGATGAAGGCACTTCATCTGTTGGCTGCCTCATTAACCTCTTCACCAGACAAAACAGCAGAGCAGGCAGCTACTGGCAGAGGCACCTTGTCCAACTCTCTTTTCCCAAATCAGAGAAATTATTTGCCCTAGAAAGTCTCTGCAGACTTCCTCAGTTTCCCTCAAGTCTTGCACACCATCTTTTATGTCCACCAGCTACCCCAGCCTTCTGGGTGTCTAGGAGATGGAGTGCTATTCTCCTAAATTGCCCTGCGCACAACTGTGGTAACATCAGGGGCCAGCTGCCATGTAAATCAGATGGTATTTTTTCCACGTGCAAGACAGCATGGAAAGGATCTGGCTGTGCATCGGTGCTGGCACACCTGTGCTGCTCTGGGCGAAGTGACAGGGTTTATTCCCCAGTGCCCAGGCACTCTGCAAGGGCACTTTTGGAGCTTGCAGACCAGAGCTGGTGGATGTGTGTGCCACAGCATCCACCTGGGTGCCCACAGCTGGTACACACCCCAGTGTGCTTGCTGTGCTCCCTGTCGGGAAGTGGGCACGCTCCTAACCTGCAGTGCTGAGCTCTCCATCCCATGCCCCACAAGTACCATGTTACCCAAAAGACTCCTTGAAGATGTGCACAATCATGGGAGATAAGACATTTACACCTGAATCCTGTCAGAGCACAATGAGGGCGGGTGCTATTTTAGCTTCCCAGGCAGGGTGCAGCTGGGACACAGATTGGGGTGTAGGAAGAAGAGGCTGCCCACCCTGCCCCAGCTCTGTAAATCCATCCCTCCTTGTCCAACCCCAGCACAATGAGCATCTCTTCTAGCACCCGGGCTCTCCCTGCCACGGGCCCTGCGCTGAAAGGGTTACGGAGCCAGGCACCCTGAAAGGAGAAGTTGCTGGACATCCTCTTGTTTGTGCTTAGTTATCAAGAGGCATCAGGTGACTTCCTTCTGGTCCCTCGGGGCTGCAGGGGAGGAGAGGGTGACAGCCAGGCTGGGAAGGGAAGTGCAGTTGTGTTGCAAGAAGTTTGTACTCGCAACTGAGGTCAGCGGTTTGGCTGCTCACGTGGCCTGGCAATATAAAGCTGGATGCAGGATCCGGGCTTCCCAGCTCAGAGGCTTCGCTGTCCCGGGAGCAGCAGGGAAGGAGGAAAAGCACGAGCAAGAACAAGCAGCAGGGAAGCGGAGGAGTGAAACGCAGTGGAGAAACATGGAAACCTCCCAGACACACAGCTCCGAAAGGTAAGAGCGGGACAGGAACGAGAGGGAAATTTTTTGCCAGAAGAGTATTGTGTTTCTCCCCTTGCTTTTAGGCATGTTGCTCCTGTTTCTGCCCCGCAGGGAACGGCATGCTCCTGCTTTCACCTCTGGATGGAGTCTGTCAGTCTTCCTCGCTCGGGACAGCATTCGGGATGCTAGTGCTCCCTGGTTCCCATCCGTGGCTCTCGGGAATGCTCTGCTCCTTTTCCTGCCGTCCCAGGCTCCCCCTTTTTTTCCTAGAGATCTAAGATGCATTTTGCCAGAGGAGAGCGATAACACTGACATCTGTTTTTGCTGCTGTTCCCCAGCATGTCCAAGGACCTGTCAGAACTGCTGAAGGAAGCTACCAAGGAGGTGCACGAGCAGGCGGAGAACACGCCGTTCATGAAGAATTTCCAGAGGGGGCAGGTGTCACTCCACGAGTTTAAGGTACTTGGTAGCAGCATTGCTTGGGGATGGAATTTCCTAGCCAGGAAATACACAGATCAGACAGGCTGCATGGGGACTAAAGGGGGAAGAATGTGGACAGCACAAGGAGGGAGGTCACTTCCATTACAGCTGTGAGGTATAAACACCTCCCACGCAAAACACGCTCCTCAAACTCCAGCACCTTAAGATCCTACCAGCTCCCCTTGTAGAAGGCAGGGCAGGACTGTGCGTATCAGGAGGGAAATGTGAACAAGGATAAAAAGGTGAAGCTGAAACAGAATAAAAAGACAAAGAGGTTGATGGGATTAATGTAATTGTTTTTTTCATTCTTCATAAATGCCTGCATGTTAATTATTGGCAATGATAGTTAATGGAGGTATGGCTATGCAGATACACGAGTGGCTGAAATGCCAAAAAGCTGGAGAATACTAAGCTCACAACCCTCTAAGCAGCTACAGCTAGTAACAGTGATGGAATAGTGAGAAAATGAGGCTGTGGGATCATCTCTGGCAATGAACTCTGCAATGTTTCAGTTGTCACTTGGGGTATACCACAGCTGAGATTGTGAACAATAATAACTCAAAAGCAGACTGAGTTTGAGCAAGCCACGTCTGCCACTAACAGGTAGGAGCCTGTTGCTTAAGATAAAAGAGAAACATTTGCGGATACTAGTTTGCACCTAACCTGGCTAGATACGTGATTCCTGGGATCTGAGCCACATAACAAAGCCATGAGCAAAACCAGCACACACCTGGGCCAGAAATTCCTGGGAGGCTATAGGATGTGACGCATGGGCTTGCAAATAACAGCTACTGATCCAACCTGGGGCTTAATTACTTTGTTGTTGAATTGTTCCTTGGCAAATAAATCCACAAGAGTAGGAAAAAGACTACTTATTTCTGACAGGTGGTATTCAGGATACTTAGTCAAGCATAAATTTGATCTCAGGTGCTGACTTCCTGCTGTTAGTAATGTGGCACTGGTCAGGCAGTGAACTTTGAGACAGGCTGGGCAATAACGTAAAAAGTCCTTATAGATAAATAAGAAAAATAGAAGGTATTTACGTGCTGAACGAGATGTGGAGTGAGATGTGATGTCAATTTTTAAAAGTAACGACAGTTTTCAAAAGCCATGTTTCCCACTAACTCTCTAACCTGCCTCTGAAAACAACCAGTCAAGTTATATATTCTTAATTTGTTAGCCAATGTTCCTGTATCTTGTTTCTTTTCTGGTAAGCTGGATAACAGGTTATTGTTTAAAAAAAACCTCTATTTTTGTTTACTCTCTTGGCAAACCTATATATCTGCCCTGACACGTGATTCCCCAGAATCTGAATATTTGTTTCCAACAACCAAGCCACTGCCTGTGTGCTTATCAAAGTCCTATTTGCTGGCACAGTGGGGAAAAGTTGAAGCGGCAACTCTTTAACTGCCAAACTGATGGCTTTGTGGGAGAGTAAAGTGCTTTCCCTCCTGCCATCAGCCTGATTTCCCTCCCCCCCCCAAACCTGACTCACCCATACTACAATGCCTTCATGTAGGCTAAAGCCTTTGCTGCTGCTGAGGGATTCCGGTGTATTTAGCCTTTGCTGCTGCTGAGGGATTCCGGTGTAAGGAAGGGGTGGTGTAGGTGTAAATATGTATACAGCCTCTGAAAACAGCACGCCTGGGGAAGGGAAGAACACAGCTAGATTGTCTTACGCCACGTGGAAAAGCTGGCAGATAGAAGAAAGTATCACGTAAGCTGGGAAAAACAACAATAACAATGGTTTCAAAATAGAGAGGGGAACACACAGCCTCGCAGCGCTTCATCACAAAGGCATCTTTCAGAGGCAGGCTGTGCTTCCAGCCCCCTTTTATCTTGTCTCCTCGGGGAAACCAAGGAGGCAACCCCGCTCGCAAGTCTGAAAGAAACGAGTGGTGGTGCCTCAGCTCCCAGGATGGTGGGCTGCCAATATGATGAATATGTTGAAAAATAAACAGGGTGTGTCATCATCTCACAAGGCCCCACAAGGGGAAGCCACATCTTGAAGCATTCAGATTTGAACAATGCAGCAGAAAATATACCTTTGGGAATACCCTCGCTATTGACTGAGGGAATGAGGAGAATAGACCAGGCATGATTTAATAGGGCTCCATTACATCAATGGAGTTTCCATTACATCAAGCTGCAAGACCTTTAACTTGAAGGTGAAGGCAGTGGCTTTTAAGGGCAGGTAAGATCAGTATCTGTGGGAAAGGGCTTAGGTCTTACCTGATGCTGCCTCAAGCAGAAGGGGAAAGGCTAAATGGTGCCTCACCGCACCTTGCAAGTCTGTTTTCCACATGGGAAACCTGCAACATCACAGATGGGCATGACTCGTACTTGCTGTGTAGCCATGAGTAACTTCTGCATTAGTAGGATTTGCCCCTAAAACCTGAAGACGGGCAGATGCACCTGTAGCTCATCTTCTTCCCTCTCTTTCAGCTGGTTACGGCATCCTTGTACTTCATCTACTCTGCTCTGGAGGAAGAGATTGAACGTAACAAGAACAACCCAGTTTATGCCCCTGTGTATTTTCCGGCGGAGCTGCACCGGAAAGCTGCCCTGGAGGAAGACTTGCAGTACTTCTATGGCAGCAACTGGAGGGAAGAGATCCCGTGTCCTGAGGCTACTAAGAAATACGTTGAGAGGCTCCACTACGTAGGCAAGAACCACCCAGAGCTCCTGGTGGCCCATGCCTACACTCGGTATTTGGGAGACCTGTCTGGGGGCCAGGTGCTGAAGAAAATTGCCCAAAAGGCCCTCCAGCTTCCCAGCACGGGAGAAGGGCTGGCTTTCTTCACCTTCGATGGGGTCTCCAACGCCACCAAGTTCAAGCAGCTCTACCGTTCCCGCATGAATGCCCTTGAGATGGATCATGCCACTAAGAAAAGAGTCTTGGAGGAGGCCAAGAAAGCATTCCTGTTAAATATACAGGTGAGTAACAACCAGCCAACCCTGCCTGCCCACATCCTCTCTCAAACAACATAACAGCCACAGGGGAAAGGCAAAACCAGCATATCTGCTGTGGAGATTATGGGAAGTTGTGGATTGGGGCAAGCTAGTCAGAGTTGCATGGCTACATTTGTCCAGCCTAGTAAAAGGCTGGTCTCTGAAAAACTCTTCTCCTTCCCCTAGGGTTTGAATTCAGTCTCTTCTGAGTGCCATTATTCAGACATGAATGAGGGCTTATACTGGGAGTGGGGATCACCACCTATCTGTCCTACCTCTGTAGTACACCTCCACAGGCACCTTGCTTTCCTTCCCATTAAAACATGGGCAATAGCCTTCTCCTGAGCTGGAAGCTTCAGAGAGGACCTGTAAAGTGAGCAAGGAGTTTGAAAGACATGCTCCTGACATGGCAGATTATGTTCTGCGCAAAAAGTGCCAGGAAACTTGGACTTGTGTCTTCCTCTAGTTCCTAAAGTGCCTGGGGCAGGGGCAAGGGGTGCAGTGAAAGAAGAAGAGGAGGCCACATAATGAGACAATGTTCCCTGTTCTCAGGTGTTTGAGGCGCTGCAGGAGCTGGTGTCTAAGGGCCAGGAGAACGGTCACCCTGTGCAGCCAACGGGAGAGCTTCGCACAAGGAACACTAACAGATCATATGAGCATGGTAAGACACTTCTAAGAGCAGGTGTTTAACACCTTGTTGTTTTGTTCTCCTCCCTTCCTTGTTCTTGTTTGTCAAAGCCACTGAGAAATAAGCATGAGGTGCTTGCCCTGTCTCTTCTCCAGCCATCAGTAGGTAGTGCAAGGAGAGGCCCTGGTGTGCAAAGCTTATTCTAGATATGACCAAGGAGGGATAAGACATGAGGGCTCTCCAGAAACAGTGTCAATGAGGGAACTTTAGAAGAAGAGAGTTCCTTCTCCTTCTCTTAGCAAGTGTAAGGTTCATTCACCACGTGAGTTTCTACCACAGGGAAAACTGGCCTCAAGTTTGCAGAAGCAAAGGCTGCAATTTGGGGCCCAGCAAATCAGCCATGGCGCTGTGATGCGGACAGAAGATTTTTCCGGACCCACAGCCCTATCAAACAGCCTCTCCTATTGGACTAACTCTCCCTCTGGTTATTTTCCTGCCTTCCAGAAGTATTTACTAAAAACACTTCTGAAAGTGTGCTGAGCTTATAGTAAGCATTGCTCTGGATGGTGAAATGTAACCGGCTGGGACATGGGGAGGTATGGGCTGCCTAGCAGTTTTCCAAAACTGAAAAAGCTCCATCTACTGGCACGCTCCAACCCCGGACAGCTGCTGCAAGCAGAGGGATCCCTTCTCACGGAGTCAGGCTCCTAACTGAGTGAGGAGCAGGCTCAGATGTTTCTAGGAGAGTAATGAAGTATTCTGCTGTCTTCTGCACACATCAGGGGTTTGATGGAGCCGGGCAGTGCATTTATAAGCCTGTAAGGAGAGAAAGGGAGAGGGGTTGCAAGCCTTTGCGATTCCCAGGTCTGCTGCTTCCCTTCTTTGCCTACCCCAGGAGAGCAGAACCTGCTGCTGCTGCTGTTTCCCCCAGCCCAAATGAGCTCTGGGCTTCCTCCTTCTCCCCTTGACAACTCCAGCTGGGTCTCCTCCGGCACCAGGCAGAGCAAGCATAGCATACCTGCAGCTTCTTGCCCCAACCTCTTCTCATTCACCTGTTATTTTTCCCTTCCCTATTTGATCTAGGTCCAGCACATGGGAAAGAGAGTGAGAGGACACAGCGGAAACACACGGACATGATGCCCAGCACTCCCCTGGTGCGGTGGATCCTGGCGCTTGGCTTTCTAGCCACGACGGTTGCCATGGGCTTATTTGCCATGTGAAGGAGCAGGACCTTCACCTTCTCACCGTGCCTTCCCTCATCCTGAACTAATCCACCTCCCCCAGTCCTTGTGAGAGAAATTCCCTGTGACTGGGTACTGTGATCTCGGCTCTGCCACTAATATTAGGAGATTTTTCTCCCCAGAAATCAAAGAGTGCGCTGTAAGGGGGGTCAGGGAAAGTCCCTCCCGTGCTTGGTGTGAGCTCTTCTCAGAGACTAACTTTGTCACCAAAAACTAAGGGTAGAAAAGGCTAAAAACAATGGCCAAGAATTGTCATTGCTTTAGAGAGTGCCTGCAAAAATCCTCCAGAATCAGAAAGCCAGCTTTGACGTCTGTCTCTCCTCAGAAATATTGAGCTGTTTGCTCGATTTTTTTATACTGCTAGATAATACTGTGATCATTTTTCTGTGGAGCCACATGGCTCCTGTGCATTATAGACTGTTTTATATGACACTAGTAGGTCTTTGTTAATTCTTTTACCAATCATTTTTGTTTGTATTTTTTAAAAAAGCAGAAAAGGGTTGTTGAAGACACCGTGTCATTCTCTTGTCTGGTTATTAATTTATACACATAATAAACTTCAATGTAAAGTCTTCAGGCCTGGTGTTTCCTATTATTAAAGCCTTACCTGGGGAGAAAGGAGGTGTCTTTCTTCCTCCCCGTTTTATGTCTTTTGGAGCTGCTGCCCCCACAGACATGACAATAGACGAAAGTGGGAGCTACCATCAGAGCCAGACTCGGCTCCCACTCAGTGCTAACAATAACCTGGTACAAGCTGGGGCAGGTTTCTGCAGCTCCTACACGCTGGTCTCTATTTCTAGAAATGACATGAAATTCTGTGAGCTTACAAAGCTTTTTTTAAGGGGTGGAAACCGTACATAAGAGCTGATTGCTGTTCTATGAAACGTAAAAGGTGACAGGACCCTCAGCCAGTCTAAACCAAGGCCTTCCTGACCACTGCCAGCTAAGGGCTCCATTACCAGACTGCCTGTGTGAGAACGTCAGCATGAATCAGAAAAGCCAGTTATGTTTTCGCCACCCAGAAATGAAATGCACACTAAATGGAGCCATCAAGCATGCAACTGCATGCCTTCACCTGGGTAACAAACCAACCCAACCTCCTGCCAGGACTCAGCACCCACGTAGCGTTGCTAGAGACGTTCCAAACACACAGCGCTGCTGGAGCAGCCCAGGCACAAACCTTGCTTTCCTCCCCTTTTGCTGAGGCAGGTCTGGCTTTGTGGCCAGCCACTGTTATGGCTGCTTCAGAAGGTGGAGGACCTCATTGCCCTCTACAACTACCTGAAAGGAGGTTGTAGAGAGGTGGGGGTTGGCCTCTTCTCCCAAGTGACTAGGACCAGAGGAAACGGTCTGAAGTTGCGGCAGGGGAGGTTTAGATCAGATATTAGGAAGAATTACTTTGCTGAGAGAGTGGTCAGGCACTGGAACAGCCTGTCCAAGGAGGTCCAAGGAGGTGGTGGAGTCACCATCCCTGGAGGTATTTAAGAAACTTGTAGACGTGACGCTTGAGGGCATGCTCTAGTGCCTGAGATTGTTGGGGTTTATCCATTTGTTTGGTGTGTGTTGGGATTTTTTTTTTGCTGGGTTTTTGTCGGGGTTTTTTTGGTTTGGTTTTTTTTGATATGTTTTGTGGTTGGACTCGATGATCTCAAAGGTCCCTTCCAGCCATGAAGATTCTGTGATTCTGTCTTCTAACACAGGAGTCGCTGCAGGAGAAGCTGCAGTTCAGCTGTGGCACAGCAGGTACCAACAAGGCCGTTATCTCTCACCTTTCCTCTTTTTTTCCCGGAAAGCCTCTGTGATCAACCTGTCTCCATGATGCTGCCTGTTCTCACTGTGACCTTAATCCCAAAGACACGCTTTCCTACTGATCTAACAACCAGCACTGAACCTGCTCCAAGAGCAAGAATCAGAAGGCACGTCCTGCTGAGAATAAGCAGTGGGAAAGAGGGACTGTCGTCATTCTCAGGCTCTTATCTACTCTATATCCCTTCCAAAATCCCCTTTAATACTTCTTTATTTGGACCCATTTGCCACACCCTGGTGGAAAAAAATAGTTAATTCTTTAAAAAGATAGATGTTTGAAAAGCAGGGCTATGAGGCTTGACAGCTATTCAAATACAAGAACTTATTAATTCATTCATTCTAATTTATAGCAAGTTCTACTTATTCAGTCCCTCCAATCCACCCTAACTAAGTAATTATGTTCATTCGACCATGCTGAGTAACCAAACATCCCAAGCATGCAAACAAATGCCCATGAGCTCAGAAATGCACTGTACCACACTCAGCCCCTCTCTGGTGTCCAAAGAGATCGTAACTGGGGTCTAAAAGTTAGGAAATGTGGACTCTGACTGACACCATCTCCTCCAGGCTCATGGCAGAAGAGATGGCACTTTGAGTATCTCACAGCCATTGCAGCTCAAGGGCTCCAGGCTGAGCCTAAAGAAGTCTTCAGAGATACAGAGTAAAGCTTTGCTTGTACTCATCCATGATCTTTAAGAATGTATCTGGTTTCTCTGCAACTAGACGCTCTTTATTTTTCACCCACTACAGTTAAACCCTCCCCTTGCAACGCACTATGCTTCCCAGCTTTGTTTTCGTTTAGGATCACAGAATCATAGAATATTCATGGTTGGAAGGGACCTTTGAGATCATTGAGTCCAACCACACACACACAAAAAAAACTACAACAAAAACCCAACAAAAAAAATCCCAACACACACCAAACAATCTCAGGCACTAAAGCATGCCCTGAAGTGCCACGTCTATACGTTTCTTCAATACCTCCAGGGATGGCAACTCCACCACCTCCCTGGGCAGGCTGTTCCAGTGCCTGACCACTCTCTCAGTAAAGTAATTCTTCCTAATATCTGATCTGAACCTCCCCTGCTGCAATTTCAGGCCATTCTGTCATTGTTCACTTGGGGGAAGAGGCCAACACCCACCTCTCTACACCCTCCTTTCAGGTAGTTGCAGAGACCAATGAGGTCTCCCCTCAGCCTCCTCTTCTCCAAAGCCTACTACCACATTCCTGAAGGGCCAAACACACTTACCCAGTGACCTGCCAGCCTTCCCCCATAATTTACTACTGCTCAGGAGAAGAGCATCCCAAAGAGCATGAACCCTGAGGCAACAGCAGCCTGCTCACAGGCTGTCAGGCTCGCTGCTCACCTGCTGCCATCCCTGTGGGGCCCCAGCCAGACTGCCCACCCACCATTTCCCCACACTGCATCCCACAGCAGCCAGCAGCTTTCTCCTTGTCCCCTGCCCTTCGTGGCCGTGGGCTCACTGCACCCCAGACAGCCAGGCCCGGGCCCAGGCCTGTCCCGCTCACAGAGACACCCCGCTCAGGCCCTGCCACCCCAGCAGGCCCTGCAGCACCAAGCTCCAGCTGCCCCCAAAGCCCCTACAGAGATAATTTATTTTATTCTCAGTAACTGACGCCTTCGCCTCCCCCCCGGCCTGAGGCAGCCACGCTCCCTCCCGTCGCCTGGAGGGCGCTCCTTCCCCCCGCCCCGCCCGTAATGGTTTCACCCGCACACCCCCCTCCCCGCACCGCCACAATGGTCCCGCCCGACCGCCATTTTCCCTCCGCACCGCCCTTCTCCCCCAGATTTCCCGCCAAACTGCGCCCGGCCGGAAGGGGGCGGGACGGAACGCGGCCCCCCGGCCAATCGGCGGCAGAGGCGGTGTCGCGCGCATCCTCTTGTGGGCGGGGCGGAGGGGAGGCCGGGCCAATCGCAGCGCGCGGCGGCGGCGTGCCCCGCCCCGCCCCGCAGTTTGCTTTCCGCCGCGCGCTGGTTTTTGCCGCGAAAAAGTTGGTGGCGGCTTTTCGCGGGCAGCCAGGTGCGGAGCGGGGCCGTGCGTGGGGCGTTCGGGGTGGGGGGGTCCCGTGGGGTACT